GGACATTTTGAAGGTCAGATTAGGCCACTGGCCTAAAATAGCCTGGGCAAACCATTTATTTTAGCAAGGTACCACCTAGCGTATTCCTTAACTAAAACTAACTAGCGTATTCCTTAACTAAAAAACAAAACGAGCTAGAATGTTTTTGTTCACCATGACCTTGTAAAGATCACATAAGGTCACTGATCTGAAGTGCACGCCAATAACCTTTGGCTTAGAACAGGCATCTATGTTCAAGACGGCTGCATGAGAGGTCGAAAACCATTTTGTGCATCAATCTTAAGTTTGACGTTGTTGGACCTTATTTGACTTAAAGGTGACAATATATGGACCCATAATTTTTACATAAGTGAGTTAGCATACAGATCAACTCATCCTGTCAATGTCGTGCATCTACCTCTCTTGATTTTTTAGATATCGTGGGTTCAATTTAATCCCTTATCCCATCCCAGCGAAGGATTTTCAACCGGCCAACCGAGCGTGTGTTAATGTTTATCAAGATCCGTCAACGTTTTATATTCATATCGAGAGAGAGAGCGAGAGAGAGAGAGAGAGAGAGAGAGAGAGAGAAGGGAGGAGAGAGAGAGAGAGAGAGGAGAGAGAGAGAGAGAGAGAGAGAGAGAGAGAGAGAGAGAGAGAGAGAGAGAGAGAGAGAGAGAGAGAGGAGAGAGAGAAGAGAGAGAGAGAGAGAGAGAGAGAGAGGAGAGAGAGAGAGAGAGAGACGAGAGAGGACACAGAGACAGAGAGTTCCGCCGAGTTTTTTTCATCAGGAAGCCATGTCCGTACATAAAACGCCAAGACATAGGCCTGGGCCTGTTGGGCCGCATAATAGCATCCCATCCCACAGCCGCGTGGAATGCGAGCGATCCCGTCCGATTCATTATTGCAGTACAATTCTGTTCCACCACTGACCTTCCCTTATGCCTTCGCGTCGGGGCTGTGCTCAAAGTAAGGCATTCTATAACCACACAGTGCACACAGATTGTGCACACACAGTGACCACACAGCACACAGATTGCCGTCAACAGCATCCCGACATCGGTTACTGTTGGAGACGAAGTCCCCACTGGCATATTGCCGAAGGAAATAACGAGCAGCAGCATCGAATGCCTTTGTCATTTTTACATGTGAAGCAGCGATCAGAAAGCATAAAAATGGCAACTGGAGTTTTTTTATTCAAACGCGGTTTTGAGCGCGATCTGACCTATTGAGGCGGGTGGCTGATTGGTTGACGCGGTGCGGAAGACGTAGCTCATTCGAGGGATCGTTAGCCTTACATCCGTAAGTCGTAAGGTTCCAGCAGCTGACCGTTGAGCCATTGCGAAGGTTTGCAGCGCTTTCCTCCATTCCTAGTGTTTCCAGCACCCTTGTTAGGGCATAGATCGATAGCGTGAAGTTTTAACAAACTAGCCCCCTAGCTCAACGGTACATTCTGTTCGAAAAAAACATTCTCGTGAGACGTCATTATAAATTATTGCTGTGCGCCGTGTTCTTTCAGGTCGCCTCACGGCGGCAGCTCGCTTCAAAATAAGTAAACTAGATATCCACGATGAGATACAACGGATAAAGTTTGAGATATTAACGATTTTTCCCCAGCTCGAGCCAGTTTCATACATTAAATCGGTAGCACGATGCGTTGTAGTGTTATGGGGGTGGGCTTTCCGTGACAAAAATGATTATTTGCGCTACTCAGTGAGCAGTTTCAGAGCGGCTAGAGGATGATTAAACGGAATGTTCCACATGGTAAGATGCATAAGATTTACAAGCATCGGGCATGATGAAGTAGGCTCATTTATGATAGATGGTATGCTTTTAATTGGAAAGCACTGCTCTGGACAACACAGTTTCTCTCTCAAGTAAATATGCTTCTCAACGCGTCATTGTTTGATTGCGCCAACGTACCTTGTGCAACATTGATCGAGAGCCAATTGACTACAGTGTCTGGAAATCATACTCACGAACGCCAGATATGGACAACTCTACAATTATACTTTTATTGACCTTGATCGCCTCATGGCTAAGAGAATGACAGGATTGGACGACGGTAATGTGGCGTCATGAATGCCTGGGCGACCTTAAACTAGTCTCTCTGAAATAGCCCGCACATCTTCGTGGGCGTTTAGCTCAGAAACCAGACAGGTTTAGGTCTTCAGAAGGGCAAGGCTGTGAACTGCACCTAATGATCTTCAAGACGGCCATTCAGCTCAAAACTCCATACAAATGTGGAGTAGCCCCTTGAAGCCCTTCAAATGGTCTAGCAGTGTAGGCATCTGTCAAGTTCGCGGCAGGTCTCGGTGCCATCGGCAGGCCACGTGACCTGACAACAGCTGTCAGTAATGGGGGCGGGCTGGCGTCCCTCCGTCGTGTTGCGGATCGATCACCTGCCCACTCAGTCTCGGGCGACTGGCCCCACAACCCCTACTCGATTGGCGTCGAGCGCGCTCTCGACCGGCTGACGCTCGACACAGATCGAGACTGTCTTGTCCTCGCGCCCAATCAGGGTCGGGCATGCTCTCGACACGCTGATGCTCGCCACAGCTCGAGAGCTCTCTCGTCTTCACGCCCGATCGACGTCGAGCGCAATTTCGACCGGCTGCGTGACGTGGCGTAGATGTGGCCTGAGATGAGCATCTAACATATTCATCCGGAAATATTAGGGAATAGCAACTATGCGCGGCAAGATCGCTGCGTTGTCACGCGTCAAGGAACTGGGATAGATGGTCTCGTCTCGTACTGTTCGTAACGCGATATGTTGCGCCGTATGTCTGCGAAATCTTTATTCTTGCGAAAGGGAGAACTCATTAGCATTTGCCATGCATTTGGTCTTCACTAGGATGTGACATTTGACACCTTGCATTTATCCCAAGGATATTTGGTTTAGTTTCGTTGCAGCTACTACGTCCGCGCATTGCGTGTGTTGAGCCTCCTAGCAGTAACCAAACGAAGCGATTTATCACGTTGCACCATCTATTTCCAGAACGTCTCCGGCAGGCATGGCCAGCCATATTTCATTGTAACTTTATCAGACCGTGTTTGGTGTTCCAGATTTTTCAGCACGACCGCTTTCGCCGCTGCCAGTCAGCGCATGGTAATTCGTAATTGTGCATGTGGCGAGAGGGTCGTGCCGTACGTTGCGGTGGTGTGGACAGGACAGTTATTGGTTTCCGATATGTCGACGAGGCATTGTTCGCCGGCTCTGCGCTCCGGCGCGATGAGATGTGCGCGCTCTTGGATTGTGATTTGGATTATGATTCGGATGGTGGATTCTGAGAAGCACTTTGAAGCTGGGCCTGATTAAAACAGTTTGACTAGCTTGCTGGGGCAACGGGACTTCGCCACCAACCACACGGAGCCTGAGTGGCGTCCGAAATCCAGAATGTGGAAGTTGTGGATAAAATTGCACTGGTGACGTAGAAGCTCTGTTAAATGTCATGATGTTGCGATAAAGATAGGCTTTTGCTTGATGCCACGGATACTTATAATTCGTAGTGAGGCCGCAGGTCGAGCTCATCTTTGTCATTTCAGGAAATATTGTGGCCTCGGCCGGCCAGACCTGTCAGGATTTTCCTTGAATTAGAGATTTGCAGCCGCTGGTGGTACCAAGCCGTTCTCAACTAGAAAGTTCACCGTTCTGAAACGTTGTTTTACTTGTCTAAGGCAATTGCAAGCATTATGTGTAATTAATGCAAAAATTCCGACACCACCAATTGAAACCACGTTCCCATCTCTGTAACACATGAATGCAACTATAAGAAACATACGCCGTTTGGTACAAGAGAAACGGACAGTCTCATTGGCAAATTGTGGGCACATGGGTTAGGCCGGTCATAGGCATTCAAGCACTAGCCACGAATCTGCCAATTGGGAGCGTTTTGTTGGGCTGGTGTCAGATTTCAGAATCCTCAGAAGGTGAAGACACGAATTAAGTTGAACAGTGTATGTGAATGTAGCGATATAAAATTCTAGGCCAGCTCAACTCCGACCCATAATAAAGTTCATAACCGGCCGGAAAGCCGCAGGCGCCGCCGTTCTAAAACCAAGTTTTGTATATGCCTACCATATTCGTTCTTTAGGGACCTAACAGGATTTTCTGACTGACCCAAATACATCAAGCAACGATTGAAATATATTAGCAACTATGCCCTGCAATGAAAATCACAACATGTAAAGCACTCCACAATACACTTCCTTGGTAGCCAGATTCTTCTATAAATCGTTGTTTCCAGTACAATAAATATCGGTCGTCTTCGGCGGAAGAAGGCACATTGCCGAAACACCAGCAGCTTAAGGCAATTTTTACTTCTGCCAGGTACGCAATCTAATACATCACTGGATGGGATTTGAACCAAAGGATATCGTGCGGTTAAGACTACACAGGAGTGTTGTTCAGCTCACTGTGAATAACATCCATCTGAAAATAAGCGAGTTTGCAGTGTTTATGTCACGGACACCGAAAAGTAAACAACTCCGACTTCGCCCAACTTGTCGTCAACATGGCATCGCCTTGTCAGGCGCAAAGGCAGACAACTTCCAGGAGCAGTCGTAGATCAGCATGTGAAAGTTAGATATCAATGCAGCTCTGTCCGCTCAACCCACGACAGGAGATGCTCCAACGCACTGGCGGCATCTGGCTGCATGGGCTTCCCAAAGTTAAATGATTGCATTTCCAGCTTTGTTAACGTAAGCGTAGTGGCACAGCGTTATCACCCAACTCGTTTTACGCGACAAAAAGCGTCTTACTGGAGCTATATACAAATTGGTTTGCCCTAGCAAACTGACTTTGTTTGCTCTCTAAAGCATATTGCATTCCATTAAGAGAGGTCGATAAGGGACTAACAAAGTGTTTGGTACATTGCCGTTCTGCTATAGATGTTCCATGTTACGTCATTGCTCGGTGCGCGCTCGTCCTCTGATATCTGTCCTTCAGTTCAGTTTGTTTTTGTCTGATATGATTACCCAGGTGCCTGCAAACCGTCAAAAGGATTCTTCGATGCTTGCAGGCAGCAGTGCGGTCGTTAGTGAAGCTCGTTCTCTGCCGGCAAACAGCACCTGTGACGTCAATGGGACCAGCTTTCTGTGCTCACCGCTGGAGTGCGTGGGTCTCGACCTGACCTGCGACGGCGTGCCCCACTGCTCCAACGGTGCAGACGAGGCTGTCACGCTATGTGGTAAGTTGTTGGCACACGTATCGGGTATTTTGTACTTGATTTTCTTGTTATCTCTGGATTGGCCCGGAAAAGAAACCAGATGGGAAGTTTTCGTACCAGGGTCCAACGCTCTAAATAGGTGATACTTGGGTTCACATGGCAGCCTGAAGTGATCATAACATTTTGAATTCATCACGCATTGCCTAGACCTGTTTTGGGTGAAGCTTAAGAGCATTTGTAACGTTTGTTCCCTAAAACAACATGACATCGGCATTTCAAAATGTGATTGATTTTTGGATAATAAATAAAGATAATAGGTCGATAAAAGATCACCCTTGGAACTTTTAAAACTGGAGAGGCTATAGCAACAACCACATGGGCTGAAATGATCAATGAATTGAAACCGAATCGGGGAGTATTTTTTTGCTGCTGACGATTTGCTGTACGATTTGCGAACGCAGTCAATGCAATGCAATTGCTTTATCTTCTTACCTGAAGCAAATAAATACTCCTGCAGGCCTGTTCTAATGTCACATACTTTTTGCGATGTACCCCAATTCCACTGGAACCAAACCTATGGAAATGGATTTCGGATGTGGATCAAATGTTGCCTAGTCACAATCGGATTAGGCCCAAAAATTGAGCAGTCCGCCCGTGGTTATAGTGTTATTTTGCTAACTGAAGAGCCATAATAACCTCTGCACACAGTCTGGACTCATTTCATTCAGACTTTGACTCGAAACAATCATAATTAACAATCATTATCACGGGTCAAGGCATGACAAGTATGCATGTACTTCGTTCGCAGGGAAACAAATACGCCGGTAACAAACCTCCTTGTGCTGGCAGGCTGTCTGAGCAACGAGTTTTCCTGCGGCAACTCCTGCATCGACATTCTGAAGCGTTGCGACACGAAGGACGACTGTCCTGACGGCAGGGACGAGCAAAACTGCGGTAGGTGATGTGCAACGCAAACGTGTTCAACTACACATCCACGCATGTCCAGGGGACTCATTATTATCACCATGCACATTTCGAGCTTTGACGCTCCGATGCAACCAACAGTTCAGTCTGGTTGTGGTAGGGTGGCGTTGTTACCAACGGACAACATAATGCAGTTATGGGCTATCCGTTAATCAGTGATGTCAAATAATATGAAAAAAGAACGTTCTGGCTCAAATGGTTCCTTACCAACATCCTGCCGTCAACGTTGACCGCCTTACCAAGCTGTTCCGAAACGGATTACTCGCTTTACCTTACATTTTAGAGAAGTAGTGCACCGAACTTCCCCTATATTACAACTGCTGTGCCACTCGGTAACAACGTTCCTGGTGAAACGAAACAAATATGTTCATGCCCACCCTCGCTTTCTGCATCAGGAATACAAGCCACATTATTTTTGCTCAAAATGTCAGACGATCACAAATGCCACTTAATACGTCAGGATCCGGAAGAAGGTTTTTAGTACGTGCATCGCATTCAATACTTAAACGCCTTCAGCACGCCAAGCAAAGTGACGGTCTAAAATTTTACTGATGATTTTATAAAAGAGTCAGACTT